TGCTGAAATCAAGCAAGTTCATCAAATACGCGAAGAAGAAGCCGGCGCCGTATCTGGAGCCGCATCAAAAGAAGGCGCGTCGTGCTTTCGCTGCAAAGCATTTGGTCAAGATGGATTTTTGACGTCAAGTTGTCATCTCGGACGAAAAGAAGTTCAACTCGGATGACCCGGATGGATACCGCGCGTACTGGCGTGACCTCCGTGGTGAAGAAAATAGCTCTCGAAGCGGGTCAGCGGAGGAGGCAGCGTAATGGTTTGGAGTGCTGTGACCATGTACAGGAAGTCTGATATCGCATTCCTTCGAGGACGACAAAGCTCGGGGAAGTTTTGCAAGACGCTGGAGACGTTCCTGTTCACCTTTTTGGACGAAGTTCAAGAGTGTCTCGAAGACCAGATTGTTGTGTTCCAACAAGACAATGCATCTATCCACGCTTCCAAGGAGACGAAGAAGTTTCTTGAAGACTCGGGCGTCTTCCTCATGGATGGCCTAGTAAGAGCCCCGATTTGAACGTGTGTCTGATTTGCGGCAAATTGCTTTGTCGTGGAAAATGATAGGTACTGACTACTTGAAGACGCTTGTGGATAGCATGCCTACGCGTTTGGCTCAAGTTGTTTTGAAAAATGGCGGTAGTATCGACTATTAGCGTAGTGCGCATATAAATATTTCGCGAAATATACTCCGCGATTTCTAGTACCATCCCTTTTAAGATACAGTTATCCCTCAACGTTTGCTCGCTTTTCCAATTATAGATTATCCAAGGGACTCATGTGCACAAAAAAACAAAAAAATATCAAATTTTCAGGCGACTGGTGAACTGCATCAGTTAAGCAAACGAAAAATTGAATGGCCCGAGGTCAGAGGGAAGACCGCAGATTGGATCGCAAGAAGTACGATTCCTGTATGGGCCCAGCAATTGCGGATGGTTGTTGTCGTGACGTAGCCCCAAGCAGCCACCGACCAATTCATGCCCGTCAGAACGTCGACTGCGTACAAGTTCTCCTGGTCGCTGTCGACACCACACTTGTATTGCCTTCAATGACTTCAATGACATGATCCAATTGATGTCGTTTGTAGTGGCGCTTGAACGACGCAATAACGCCGGTGTCCATCGGCTGCAAGAACGCAGACGTGTTCGGCGGAAGCATCAAGAGGCGGACGTTGGTAAGGTTGACGTCCAGTGGAGGACTTCCAAAACCGGCGCAAATGCAATTTGGTACAGAAGTGGCACAAACTTCATCCAGTCATTGCATGAATAAAATGACGATTTGAGTTTATGGTTTCTCCAAAACCGACTGAAAAAGGATGACCAACGGTGGGGGGGAATCAATTGGATTGGTTGCTGTGAGCCAATAAAGAGGAGAGTTAGAAATGACAGTCACTTCTCCAACACAAGAGATGCCGCCTCCATCAAGCAAGAAGACACGAGCAAAAACAACGGCTGGAAAGCGAGGAAAGGGCTAGACTGAATCGGAAGCACAACTCATGCTCGACGTTATGCTCGACGTTGTTGAATCTCAACTCCCCTTCGGCTCAAACA